AAGGTCCAGGAATCCTGAGCCTCTGTGGATGAAATTTACTCTACTCAAGTATCGATATCATGACGCGCGCTCAGGCTGGTGTTGGTGCTCTGGTAGAACCACAGAATCAATGATTGGAAGCCTGTCAGCTGAAGGGTGGCAATCCTTCAACTGAAGCCACAACAGGCTACAGAGCTGACCTTGATAGAGGCCTCTGCCCCTAAATTAAAGGAGGAACATGAGTCCTTCCTTAAGGAAGTGGAATGTATTATGCAGGAAGTGCCGAACCCAGAGTCCCCCATACTCCTGAACGATTTTAATGCGCATATCAGAGCAGACACTGAAATATGGGAAGCAGTGACTGGAAAGATCGGCCGTAATGACTTCAACAACAACGGCACGAAGTTGTTGCGGTTTTGTGCAAACAACGGACTGGACTGTCCATTATGAACACCTTCATCGAGCATCGAAGCGTGTATCAGCATACGTGATATAGGGATATTTGTGATGATCCATTTCATAACCTGTTGTTTGACTTACGACGCCCTGTAATAAATGTTCGCGTTAAGAAAGAAGCAGATCATCACTATTTTGGCACGTTATACAGTGAGAGATAGAGTACCATAAAGTGATCAGATGACAGAAACAACCACATAATCAAATGGGATAATAAAAAGTAATCTTCTCGAATACGAGGGCAAAACTTGCAAACAACGTCGGTCAATGACTTGAACAGATCCCACCGATGACCGCAGACAAAAACTGAGTGGAAAATCTTCGGTTTACTCGGGGCTAAAGCCGAATGCTGCGGTTTAAAACGGTTGCTGCTGGCCTGCCTTCTTGAGTTCAGAAGTTAACTTCCTGGTGGACAAGAAAAATTCAACAGACAAAAGATAAAAGAGAGATAGGAACAAACAATTCAACTCAAAACCACAATTGATAATTAGATACCTCCATTCAAAATCGAGGTTCTGTGATGATCATACCATCGTCGCTCATCAGGATCACTCAGAACTTCATACGCTTGCTGAAGAAGGGTAAAATAGGCAGTGCACTCAGCAGCTTTATCGGGATTTTTGTCTAAAACATAAGATCAATCTATGGATTAACGCAAACATAGAAAATAACTACCTTACCTGGGTGCCATTGCAAAGCCAATCTCCTGTAAGATTTCTTTATTTGTTCCGCGCTGGCATCTTTTGGTACCTCCAACAAATCATAGTAGCACTTCATAGGTACAGGATTTCCGCTATGAAGCGGAGCACTACCTTTTCATAGTATAATATTTGATTGGCATGTTAGATTGTTAAGTCACATTTTATGTTAATCATTATATAATACATCCACTTCACCACCTGTAATAAGGACAGCTCATTTAAATTATAACCTAAAAGAAAAGTCACTTAATTCAGAAAAACAGCATTGGCATGCAAAAGAAGATTTCAATCGTATGTCTGACACTGTTCTTGCCTGAATGGAATGATGTCTTAGTTGAGAATTTGGGTCGTTTCTTAAATAAAAAATATGGCTCGAAATCTTAGAACCTACGATTAACCCATCGATGTCACAGATGATATCGATCAGAGATGATTTTATTAAAATTTGTGTTGATTTTACCTCTAGATTTTCAGTCAATTACCAAGTAATCCTCGG